CCCAAAACTTGAGCCTCCATAAACCTGGGCAGAATAGGGTATCCCCTGTCCTTCCACTATGATGCAGCTGAAACTCTGGTTGCAGTCATATGCAATCGTGACTGCCGGCCCAGGTGACTTTGGCCACTAGGAAGTGCCCTGAGTATGGAACGTGCCTTAGATTCCTGACCTGCTAATTGGGATGAATAAAGGGCTCTTGTGTTCCCCTGTAGGATCTGAATCCAGTTTGGCCCTGAGGCTGGTGAATGGAGATGACGGGTGTCAGGGCCGAGTGGAGGTCCTCTACCGAGGCTCCTGGGGCACCGTGTGTGATGACAACTGGGACATCAGTGATGCCAATGTGGTCTGCAGGCAGCTGGGCTGTGGCTGGGCCATGTCGGCCCCAGGAAATGCCTGGTTTGGTCAAGGCTATGGACCCATCGTCCTGGATGAGGTTCGCTGCTCAGGGCATGAGTCGTACCTATGGAGCTGCCCCCACAATGGCTGGCTCTTCCACAACTGTCAGCATAGTGAAGACGCTGGTGTCATCTGCTCAGGTGGGCCTGCAAGACCTTTGGCTCCCCTAGGCTGGAGTTTGCTCAAGAAAAAGTCCTAATTACATTCTGATCTCTTCGCTCAATGTTTGTTCTATGTTTCCCATATTTATGAAATCTTCTTAGCGCTCTGCTAAGAATCCATATGAATTCACTCTCTAGTGTTCCTGTGGTCACTTGGGACAGGGGACCAAACTCAAACTGCAACCCAGACTTTATCCCCATCCTGAGGCAGTGCAAGGAAGAGGCCGAAGAGAAAAGTGCTGGCTCCCCCGGGCTCCATTTCTCCCCTGCTAAGTTGCACTTGGTGAGGGTATCATGGACACAGCACAGACAGCAGGAAAGGGCAGGTATCCTCTCACTGTGAAGAACTCTGCACTAAAGATGCTTGTCCGGAAGCAGGGTCTCAGCTAAGATTCAATAAGGAAGTCTGGAAATAGAGGCAGACGGCTTAGGAGTGCAAATGGGTGTGTGTTTGTGTCAGGCTGGGTCACATGGGGCTGGAGTCCTTGACCACAGCTCCTTTCAGAACACTGCGGAGCACTGCCTGTGTCCCGGGTCTTGTGTGGGGAGGGCAGCCCCCATGAGACCGGCCAGGCATGGCCTTGTTATTGCCTGTGTTTGGGGCTGGATTATCACCTGAGGGATTTTGCCTGGAGTGGCGTCCTCAGACTTGCTGACTTAGGAACTGCCAAGAGGTGCCAGGGAGAGGGTTGGTTTTGGGTCAACCTGGTCACCCTTGGCAGACAGCAAGTTAATCACTTTGGAGGTGGCAATTCTGGACAGGATCTGCCCTGATCCCTTCTAAGGCAAATCTCTGTGGGAATGTGCATGGCAATGTCCCTCCCTCTGTGATAGGGACCTAAGATGGACTGAGTGTCAGACTCACCCAGTTTCTTCCACTGTAGTTCAAGTTTTGACAGTTTCTGTTAGTGCATCTGATCTGACTTTCTCTTGTGCATCTGATCTGACTTTCTCTTTTTCTTACAGGTTTCCAGTCCCAGTCAACGCCCAGGCCAGGTGAGTCCCCAGCATCTGGGATGTCCCTTCTCTTTCTGCCCAAGCACCCCTACCTTCAATCCACAGAGCTCCAAAGCTCCTCTGTGCGTATACTGTGGGGCATATTATTTATCCCACCACTCTGTAACAGACCCCAACACAGCGCTTCAACAGACATAGAGGATGGAGGAGGCTTCTGACTTCTGTTCCATTTATCTTAGCTTTCATGAAGCAGTTTCATACTGTGCTATGGGTAACCCTTACAGGTTCAGGAAGTGGCCTCATGTTTAGTGAGCTTTGGCTGCTTTACATTCAGATCTGATCTCTCCTTTCTGAGAATTGAGAGTGCTTGTAAAGTCATCTGGGAAGGCAATGTCCACGAAAGCCTTAAACATGCCTTTGTCCATGGGCAAGCAATGTCGGTGCAGGCTGCTACCTCCATCCCTCACTCCTGCAAACACCCCAGATTTTGCAGCACCAAATCTGCATCCAGAGAAGGCAGAGGCCATGCTCCGCAGGCAGAGGGATACTATTTCTTGTGCCTCCATGTACCAGGAAACTTGATAGCCCAATGGGCGCCTCCTTGGTTCCCTTAACAGGTGGAACTGCCAGAATCTCACCTATGGTGTCAGATGTGCCCATCAGTCCATGTGTCAGTGGACGGTGCAGGCTAACCTTTGTGGCTCAGAAGAGGACTTCTAGGAGGGATAGGACTGGTCTCCAGTGAGGCCTTTGTTCCTGGCCGAGTTCACTGAGCTGAAGACTTGAACAGACACTTGGAGCAAGTGGCAGGAACCAGAAACTGAATAGTTTTCATGATGCTTGCGTGGTCCAGAGACCTTTCCTTGTTGAGCTTTTCACCCTCAAGTCTAATTCTGTCCTTTCTCTTTGTTGCAATTTACAGATGCTTGGCCAGCCACTGACTTACCTGCATCGACAACAGGTAAATCACCCTCTCACCGCTCCCTAGGGCTCACTCTCTACCTCTTTCAAACATTTCTTTAGAAAGTGATACAATGAGGATAAAGGTTGGTGCCTCCATTTTTTATGCCCCTGCAAGTTGCCTGGGGATGAATGTGGCCTCCCTGGGGACCTGGTCCTGGATCTGATGATGAAGGGTAGAGTTGCTGCTGACCTGTATCCCCTGGGAATCTGTTATGTGTTCAGGGAAGATCCTCATCCAGGTGCTCCAGAAAAGCCCTGGACATCTCCCTAATACTCCTGGGTTCTTGTTCCTGGCCCTCTGCCAATGGGTGCAGGCCTGAGCTGAGTAGAGGACAGTGCCTGTCCCCACAGCTGTCTGGCAATGTCCTGTTATTGCTGGCACTTTGCCAGAAGCCAGAGAGGACCATGTGGGTGCCACCAAACTCCTGAACATGGTGCAGGTCTCGCCCTCCTTACCGGAGTTGTGCAGCTTCATCCTGTGTGAGAATGAAGCTCAGAATGGGGAGCGAGGCTTCCATTCCTGTCCCCTCTAGAGGGGTCACAGGTTCCTCCCCAGCACTTGAGCTTCCATAGATCTCAGCAGAGTAGGACATCACTACTTCTTCCAGTATGATGAGACTGAACTTCTTTTCAGAAAGTTTTCAAAGGTGATTACTTGCCCAAGAGACTTTGGCCATCAGGAAGCGCCCTGAGTATGGAACATTCCTTAGATCCTTGATCTCATGATCCATATGGATGAAGAGTTTTTGTGTTCCCCTGTAGGATATGAATCCAGTTTGGCCCTGAGGCTGGTGAATGGAAGCGATAGGTGTCAGGGCCGGGTGGAGGTCCTGTACCAAGGCTCCTGGGGCACCGTGTGTGATGACAGCTGGGACACCAATGATGCCAATGTGGTGTGCAGGCAGCTGGAATGTGGATGGGCCCTGTCAGCCCCAGGAAATGCCCGGTTTGGTCAGGGCTATGGACCCATTGTCCTGGATGACGTGCGCTGCTCAGGGTATGAGTCCTACCTGTGGAGCTGCCCCCACAATGGCTGGCTCTCCCACAACTGTCAGCACAGTGAAGACGCTGGTGTCATCTGCTCAGGTGGGCCTCCAAGACCTTGGGCTCCCTCTGTTGGGCTGGAATTCACTCAGGAAGAAAGCCCTAATTACACTCTGATCTCCTGAAAGCTTGTTCTATGTTTCCCAAGTTTCTGAAGTCTTGTTAGCGCTCTGCTCAGAATTCATATGAATTCACTACCTATTGTTCCTGTGGTTACCTGGGACAGGGACCAAGCTCAAACTGCAACCCAGACTTTATCCCCATCCTGAGGCAGTGCAAGGAAGAGGCAGAGGAGAACAGTGCTGGCTCCCCAGGGCTCCATTTCTCCCCTGCTGAGTAGCACTTGGTGAGGGTATCATGGATACAGCACAGACAGCAGGAAAGGGCAGTGATCCTCTCACTGCAAGACACTCTGGACTAAGGATGTTTGTCTGGGGGTGGGTTCTCAGCTGACAGCCAATAGGGGGATGTGGAAATAGAGGCAGAAGGCTCACAAGTGCACAAGGGTGTCTGTTCCTGTCAGGCGTGTGTCACACGGAGTTGGAGTCCTTGACCTCAGCACTTTTCAGAACACTGCAGAGCACTGCCTGTGCCCCAGGTCTGGTGTGGGGAGGGCAGCCCCCATGGTCTGGTGTGGGGAGGCAGGCCAGGCAGGACCTTGTTATTGCCTGTGGTTGGGGCTGGAAGATCACATGAGGGATTTTGGCTGGAGTGGCCTCCTCAGCCCTGCTGACTCAGGAACTGCCAAGACATACCAGGGAAAGGATTGGTTTTCAGTCAACCTGGTCACCCTGGGCAGACACCAGGTTAATCACCTTGAAGGGGGCAATGATCAGGATCTGCCCTGATCTCTTCCAAGGAACATCTCTGTGGGAAAGTGCATGGCAATGACCTTCTGTGTGCCAGGGGAAAAGGATGGACTGGGTGTCAGACTCGTGCAGTTCCTTCCTCTTTATTCTAGTTTTACAGTTTCTGTTAATGCATCTGATCTGACCTTCTCTTTTCTTTGTCACAGCTTCCCAGTCCCGGTCAACGCCCAGGCCAGGTGAGTCCCCGGCATCCTTTCTTGGGATGTCCCTTCTCTTTCTGCCCAATCACCCCTTCCCCCACTCCACAGCGCTCTCCTGCTCTTCTGTGTGGGTACTGTGGGGCAGATAACATCTCCCCACCACTTTGTAACGGAGACCCCAGCATGGCGCCTCAACAGACATGGGATTGAGGAGGCTT